GAGGATACAACTGTTAATGATGCAGCAGAGTTCAAGCCCTGACTCCAGGTTTCATATAAATCAGCCTGGAAAATATAACAAGAAGTTTTTCTCAACTGCTCAAACCCACCAAGAGGTTTTCTCTACAGGCCACTGCTAATCTGCAGCCTGTGTGATGATTACTGGGAGAGAACCTTTCCTTTAACACCAATTCAAAGAACAACTTCAATGGGTGTGGGAAAAGAATTATTAGTATAGCCAGCACCTAATACTGATGAAACATACTCTCTCCTTTGCTCATGAAATGCCAGACCAGGAGGCAACTGGATAGTGCTTAAGCAGCCAGTGGAGAGCACAATCCTGCTATTGTGGCTGGCCAACAGTCCCTTTATGGCAGATCTTCCAAGCCAGAGCTACATGAAGATGTAGCACTGCTTTCTCCCCAGCCTTGCACGGGGTACCATTTTATATGCACATAGTTCTCTTCTTGCTAACGCTGGTGCATACTGGTCAACGATGCTAACAAGATGACTCCACTATATAATGACTAGCATGGTGCTGGGGGATAAAACTGCATTTGAATTACATTTGAATTATAATACTAAATTAATACTGCATAACCAGTAAACCCCGTGACAGCCACATTTACCCAGATTACATGGAAGCCCTGTACATGGATTACTGCTCAGTAGTGAGGACACTATGGAGAGGAGAAGCCAGACTGTAGCAAGCAGCTCCTCAGTTGCTGCAAACCACAAATCTCCCTTAAGTTTATGAAAGGTAGTTCTGACATTTTACTGGGGAGGGGGGAAGATAATTTGGGAAGGGAAGTGCAGTTCATAGTGCCCTGTTTCTGTGACCCCACAGCCGGCAAGGGCAACTGATTCCTCATGGCAATGCTCTATCTTACAAGTTTGTCTTTCCTTTTGCCTGGCACACCCCTGTGCTGTTAATTCCAGGTAAAGGGCTGGTAGCAACAGTTGAAAATGACCCACTAAATGTATTTTAACTTTTTACTATCCACATACATTTTGCTTTCTCCACTCTGCCCCATGATGATCTGCATGATTCGACCTTATCACTGGCCAACCAACTTAGTGTTTTCAACCTAGCATCCTGCTCACCTCTCCTACCGGCTGCTTTCGCCAGGCACGGGTGACCCTCAACAGCAGATGGCAGTGGGAAACAGAGGAGGAGAAGGGTAGGTCTGGGAGGTAGCTTGAAAGGTGGAGGGGAAATGTGAAAATTGCAACAAGCTGCCTGAAAATCTCATTGTCAAAATTTTTCTTAAGTATTCACACATGCACACATACACATGCACATGCACAACAGGATTTCACAGTGTCAATGTTAGCAAGTGCCTTTTCCCCTTGTTACATGTTCTCCCCGTGAAGTTGAATTTTGCCATTAGACTCATATTTCATAGCAGTACATTTGATACCCATGAAATAAATATGTTAAAGTCACTTCACTGACTCTGCCCTCCACTGGAGCACGCTCCAGAAGCATTTACAACCAAAGTACTTTACAGGAACTTGGTTCCTCGTGCTCCCAGGAGAGCTGGAGGGATGCAGAAAATTGCAGTGTTTGATGGTTCATTTCTATTTTAGGTCCAGTTCTCCATTAGTCCTACACAGTCAAATACAGACAGATGTCACAGCGATGCCTGGTATAAACAGATGGGAATGTGTTACTTTTAGTACCAACACCATATGATTTTTGGTCAGAAGAAGAGACAAGGATGTGCTTTCTCTGTCCTGCAGACAGCTGCCACGGCTTTGGTGAGTTGCGGCACTGAGCTTGGTATGGTCCCATCCTTCACAGTGGGTTGGGTCTGGTAGGTAGATGTGTATATGCTAGCCAGTGAGGAGATTCAGTGCATTAAGACAAAATGTCTCCAAATGAAGAAGACCTGAAGTGCCCTTCCAAGTCCTGTCTAATAATGACTGGCTCTGAAGGGATGCTGCCCGGCCATTGCTCCTCCTTAGTGTCTGCAGGAATGTAAGGGATGGTAGAGAACAGTCAAGAATTGTCTGGGAAGGACAACTGAAGGGCATCATGTGCTCCTTCCACATGGCTGCCCCACAGGAATTTGCTGGTGAGTTTTCTAGACAGACAGCTCTCCTTGCAAAGCTCCCTTGTACATAAAGTAGCCGGATGGCTGTGGCTAGACAAATTGGCACAGCATCATGCTTCCCTCACCCTGGACTGCCACCAAATAGCTTCAGACATGCCTTTGGGAAAGACTGACAACTGTTCCTTGTTAAAATACAGCAGCTACAATGTGAGATGGAGACACACCATGTGAGCAGTTCTCACTGCTGCTCCACACTTCTACAGGACAGGGTGCACCAAGAAGCTTCTTGTTTCTCTGTGTGCCCTCTGCAAGCACTTTGTGTGGTTTAGTTGACACCATCGATTTTTGCATGCTGGTCTTTAAAAGTTGAGTCCACTTCCTGATCAGGAGCAGTGCTTTTTAAATGCAAAGGCATTAAAAGCATCCCTCCACTAGATACACAGGCGAAAACAGACTGGATATAGGACAGACAGCTGATTATGCCCAGGCACCACGTGCATACAGCATGCCTATAGTCCACTCATCCATCACTCTCTCTCCATCATATTCTGCCATCTGAAAGAGATGCAGGGCAATGGCATTGCTGTCAGAAGGGATGCACTGTGGACACTGAGCGCAGCATACTCCCTGTAGAATACACTGGGTACTCCCTGTGTACCCAGCACACACCCGCTACTGATGTTCACACGACTACAGATGCACTTTCGGATGCAAGACCAGGGAAGTACTGTATACAAATGAAAAGGCAATCCTGCGCTAGAGATTTCAGATGAATAAGGGCTGGAGGGAAAATTCCTCCAGTGAAGGCCCCTGGTGCTGAAGCTGTGCACCAAACTTTGGGACAGTGCAAGAGCTAAGCAGAGAAGTAACTCTCACTTGTAGGGAATGGTCTGCTGCCACTCCTAAGTGCTTCGTTGTCAGATCTGGTCTAAAAGTGGAAAATGCTAAGAATTTTATGAATGGCCTCATATTTTACAAGCAGTCTAGGGAGATGATGTCTGGCCACAGAGGCCTAGACAGCTTGGGATTTTCATCCATGGCAGACACACTTCCTCTTGGGTTCAGCTCCCGGAAAGTACAGCAAACCAGCTCCCAATGAACATGCCTTCAACAACCCATGCTGCTGAAAATGAGTGGAGGATGACATAGAAATGGCAGACAAGGGCTTGTAAACACAAGTTATGCTGGCCATGGCCACGAGATGTGTGGAAACATGCCACATAGGGCCAGAGGAAGGTGGGTGGTGGTAGGCATGTTTAAAAGGATACAAGGTGGTGCTGAACAGGGCGAACAAGCTCATTTGTACATCCCTGCACTTGCTTGGTGGTATTTACACATACCAAAGACCTGGTCAGCAACTAAAGTATTTATTTCAGTTATTTATAAATCCACTGATTGACCATTCAGCTCCAACCACAGCATTTTGCCTCCAGAGACCTGGGTTACCAGATCAGAGTTTTTGCCTTTGCTCTCCTTGAGGCGACTGGCTGAGAGCGAAGCTGCCTCAGAGCCCCCAGCTCATCGTCTAACAAAGGGACTGGGTCCCCGAAGGGCACAGAGCACATCTGCAGAGTTTGGCTACTGTAGTGAACCATCCACAACCTGGCAGCTAACACAATTCAGACTCCCAGAAACCATGTGCCATGAGCTCCTCTTAGAGGACCGGGCTTACCCTGCCTTTCTGTGGTCCATTCACCAATCTGACACCTTTCTAAGCAGTGAGACATTTCCAAAGGGCTCTGACAGCCAGCTGTGGAGTCATCATTCCCTCCCACAATCCATCCACCCTCTCCGTCTTTCCCTCCCCCCTGCAAAAAAAAACCCCAAACCCACAAACCCTCTGTGATGCTGCTCACCCCTGCACCAGCAACCCTGAATTGAGCAGGTGGTCATTTCATCTTGGCAAACAACTGGAAACCCAACAGTTAGAAACATCTGTCAGGCCATGACAAATTGCAAAATAACAAACAAGCAAACGGGAGGAAATGTGCATATAAAAAAATTTTTTTCCTGGCATATTGTCAATAAGCTGCAATTTTTCCTTCCACAGGGAAGGGATTTAAGTTCTTGAATGATATGATGCTTGGAGATGTCATTTCTTTTTCATTAAAAAAAACCCCAACCAACCAAAAATTTCCAACCCCAAACTCACAAACTGGTGTTAACAAAACAAGGTAAAAGGACAAATCTCCCAACAATGACAACCGAAAATAAAGGTACACATCAGCATTTGTAATCAAAAACTACTACATACTGTATCTGGGAAGTCTTCTGGGAAAAGATCATTGGCATCTAGTGAGGACATCACTATAAGTCTTGTGCATATGATATGTATGAGACAATGATGCCATTGGAGGGTGGATGGACGGACCCTTAGGAAACTGTCACTCACAAAACTGTTCCATGACAAGAGAAAATAAGAGATGTAAAAAGGATTGGTTTTCCCCATCCCCACCCCCCCCAAGCGTTACAGATTCCTTCTCATTTGTCGGAAACAGCCTCTTCTAGTCTCAGTTTATTTGTTTTTAAAAAAAAAAAAGTCTTCAGCTTTTGAAGAAGTCCATCAATTTCTGAGATGCACTTGGTTCTGCAGCACCAGAGAGCTTCAGCTCTCTCCCCCCTTTGATTTGCTAAAAGGGGCTTTCGGGAAGGACTGCTGGCTGCAGGACATTCCCAGAGCCGCCATCCCATGTGAGAAAGAGAAGTGCTTCTCGTGACCTTTCTTTGCATTCATCTTCTTGAAAAAGTCTCATTGCTCCAGAGGTGTGTGGGCCCAGCTGCAGCAGCCTTGTGCAAGAGGAAACAGATGAAGCTGCTCTCTTCTCTTCCTTTGGAGACTCCCATTGGTCTTGGAGCCCTTTTCAAGAATGCAATTGCTTTATTATTATTTAAAAATATTTCATAGTTTGTTTTTTTTTTTTTTCAAAATAGCTGTCTTTTTTTGTTCCCTTTTTCCATTGTTTAAATTCTAGAAGCTCTTGGCGACTTCTCATTGTTGATGACAGGGTGTTTCTTCCTGTTGCCATGATCCTCAGAGCAGCTGCCTGTCTCTGGTCCGTGCAGAACACTCAAGAACTGGAGCTTGGACATACAGGGGCAAAGGGGAGCAGGGCCTCAAGGAAGAGGAGTAGGAGGACACGTAGCTATCAAACCTCCACAGACTGAATTTGGTTCATCTGTGCTCTCATCACCTGGATACTGTTCAGTATTTTCTTCTGGTGTCCTGCTAAAGTGACCCCAACTCGCAGAATGTCCCTTTGGGAGGAAAAGAAACAAACACCGCATATGTATCAGAAAACATTTTCTCACAGCAGAACAAGCCCATATATGAGCGTGGTGCATAGGGAGCTGAAGTCTCCATAGATTTATTCCATAAATGCAACAATGCATGCAAACCTGGTGAAACTTCTACTCTTTCTCTTTGACTCTTCCTGGCTTATCCTCCCAATCTTTGCATTTGCTACCTATCTGCAGCACCCCCAGAGTACTGGAACCTCATCAGAGAGTGTGAAACCAAATACCACAGGCTCTGCTCACTGCTTTGTAAGTGAATTTGCCTTAGGTTTTCTACCCTTACATTGCTTTGTTTCTTTCTTTGCATGTTTCGATTCTCTCTCTCATTCTGTGACACAGTAACCCATTTTTTCCATCCCTGGAGACATATGAACGGGACGTGCTACACCCTCATCAGTGTGAATCTCACTCCCCCTGTGCAGGGCTCTTCTTGCTACTTTTGCTTTGATCTGATGCGGCCATGAAGTGATAAACTTTTGCTACTTGTCCTCTTTGCTAAATCACAGCAATCTAATTTTTGCACTGCTTTTATTTTTTATAGATATTAGACATCTGGGAAAAATAAAGGTCAGGCCAAGAGCATAAGTGTGACTCTGCATTGTCCTATCTGTGATCACTCCAGCTGAATTTGCTACTCATCTCTCTCTTGGTGGACAAATCTCAGTCACAAATTCTGATCAGGGAACGGATAGCATTCGTAAGATGTTACCCATACCTGACTCAGTTGCCTTTTCTCCTTCCTTAAGTGTTAGGAATGGACTTTTAAGAGGAAGTGTGGCAAAACCTTTGCCTGTTTTAGAGTGGAAGTCAATGGGCAAAGAAGGGTAAACAGGAGCTCCAAGGAAAAGTGGAAAAAAATCCTCTAGCACGAATGGCACATGAGCCCGTATATTTGCTTTAGAGCTTGCTTTAGACCTTGTCTCTTTGGTCAAACAAAAGGAGCCTAAAGAAGGAAAGCTGGGCGTGGGGCTATGCCACAGATTTACGCATTCTGGCTGGTGGTAACTGGTTGGAGACCACCGCTGGAGCATGCTTCAGCCCATGCCCCCTGAGATCGGTGTGAGAGTGAACATCCAAGACACAGCTTTGCTGCCGCCCAGACTCCTGCTCAGCAAAACAACTGGAAACCTGCTAGCACACTACACAACTCTGGCTGCCAGGATGGTGTCCTTCACAGTGACTGCTTTTCTTGCTGCAAGGGCTTTCCATTCCCTCCTCTGCCCCAGCCAGATGCACTGAGCTAGAGAATTTTCCTCCTTGGAGAAGTTTGGCACTTTGACTTTTGCTTTTGTTCTGATTGGGAACAAGGACCAAAGTCTTCACTCACATCTGTAAACCAGAATAAGACTGTGGCCCTGCACAGCCTTGTGCTTCCTAAGCTTTCTGCCCTGGACATAGATCATTTGGTGGCCCAGGTGGCCCAGACTGCAGACAAACCAGTGAGAAACCTTTCAAGCAGGTCAGTGTTGAACCCATGTGGATTTGGTGAACTGAATTAGTCTTCAGTAAACATTTACACTTTGCTGGCTATCCAAATTTGAAGAAAACAGTGTCTTATGGCGATTCAGCTCCACTTACATGATTATCTACTTCTGCAAAGACCAGCAAACATTAGAAGGTGGTTTCAAGTAATATCACAGCACTATTTCCCAAGGAAAAAGGACTTGGAGTGTCCTCTCTATTATTATGTCCAGCCAAGCAAGCGAGAAATGTGGAAGGGAGGTTTGTCAAAACTCATGGGGACATGAGCTGAGGATACCCTTGTGATTGTGATGAAGGCACTTGGAGAGGACTTGGAAGATATTGTGAGAGACATGGTAAGGAACTGGGAGAAGTGGCATTTAAGGGACACTGAGCATGTCTGTGAAAAAACAGACTTCATTAGCTGGACTGCCTGCAGAACTGTACACTTATACATATATTTTGCACATAGCACAACCTAGGCAGGGTTGGGTTGTGGTGCAGGTGTGACGTCCCAGTTTGGTCAAAGTTCTTCTTTCCTATCCTTCAGATTTTATGGACCCTCTTTCTGTTGCACGCACACAGCCTACAGTGTGCCAGAATCATCCCCAGGGCCTTGGGGTTGTACCACAGATGTACTGAAATAGTCAGAATTGCCATGTGAATTTCCTGGCAGCAAATAAGAACAAAAAGCCAGAAAAGGTCAGTTTGGCTGTTTTTGTGAATAGATTCTGATACATTGGTAGATTTAAAGTCTGGAATTAGGCACCAAATCCAAAAACCTTCCTGGTAACCAGACGTCGTTGCACTTACAGATGGCTTTAATGCTTGGTGCTTTCTTAGGCAGGGTTTCTAAAGCTAACTGCAACCAACTACAAATCTTTCACCAGAGGCATCAAAGCCCCAGCTAGGCCCAAGGGATTTCAAAAACCACCACAAATGGATTTCAACTGCCTGCTTTCTCTGAAGAACTTGTGAAGATTTTGCCACTGAGGAATGTTTATAGTGATGCAGGAGAATTCAGAACAAACTTGAAACCATCTGGACTTTCAGAGGCCTTTCTTAGGTAGAAATTTGTTTGCAGCATGCTAGTCTCCATTGCCAATACACCATACATCCAAGAGGACTGAGAAGTCTAAAAGTGCTTGAGTGGCTGGAGAATTGCCTGGTGCCGGCCTGAAATCTCCATTTGTTCCATGCTGGGGTTTTGGAGACCCTTGTGGGGGGTTGTTTTCGCAGTGAGGACATGCATTCTGCAGATTCAGAGTGACAGACAGACACACAGTCTGGAGACAAGACAGCCTGCAGAATGGAGTAGTTCTGCAGAAACTGAATACACTAGAAGTGGGTCCACAAATCAACAAATTCTATAAAACTACATCATGTGAAAATAAAAACTAATTCAATAATGACCAACTGTTGTTAAACTACTGAGACTTCTCCTTGTGCTTTGGGACTAGAAGCCTGGGCACTTACTCTACAGTCATCTGAGATACTACGTCAAAGGTGGTGAAGCCAGCACTGGCAAAGCTCTCCTTGTACTGGCTCATCTTGATGGCATCCAGCCATTCATCCACAGTGTTGAAGCTGGTATAATCCGGGATTGTGCGGTCAAGTAGGGGGAGGTTCATCCTGCAACACAGAAATGGGGAATGAGCAGAACAAACAGCAGCAAGCATGTGTATTTCTGCACCCTCCATCAGCTGGAAGGACCTGGACCAGCATCATTCACAGTGCCTGCACCGCACTGTATTATGAAGTACCACCCAGAAAGCACTCTACTCAAATGAGGGAAGGAGGATTGTGCAGAGCATCACAGAAGTCTTTCTAGATCAGTTTGTACAGAACGGGTAGGAGCCATCGAAGATGATGGAATGCAGCTCTAAAATCCTGGCTGCACAAGGGGAGAAAGTACATTCTCATAATGGGGCTAGTGCTTCCCACAAGTTGGTGTATCCCCACCCAGTCCAGGGAAACATGATACTGCCTGAGGAGGCTTTATTTGCCTCCACTGCATATGAGACTGGACTACCAAAGCAACCTCACCCATCCAGCAATCACATGTACATGAAACCAAGATGCTCCTCTAACTGTGCAGAGTACACCGTCCAACTCAATGAACTGCCTGTGTTCACCAGGTCTAACCTGTCCAAGAAGAGGGACCAGAGTGACCGCGACATCTTTTAACACCCTTCGTATAAAGGGCCAAACAACACAGGCCAAGCTGCCTCTAAAATAGGGAGGCCTAGAGAGATGCAAGGATGGTTCCCACCAGGACACAAAGGACAGCAGGTCTGCAAATAGAAGCCAAAGGACAAGAGGAAGACAGGTACATACCCAGAGGAGAGAGGTGCCATGGCTTTCAGGCTGTTAGGATTTCGGATCATTTTATCTAAGGTGTTGACAATTTGCCCAAATTTGGGTCTGTGGTTTCGATCCTTCTGCCAACAGTCAAGCATTAGCTGGTGCAGGGCATTTGGACAATCCATAGGTGGTGGCAGCCGATAGTCCTGCTCGATAGCATTTATCACCTGCAAGAGGAGAAAAAGAGATCAATACAGTTGCAATAAAACCTATTTAATTAATAATGTTCCTTTTCTTGGATCCTGAGGGTGACTGGCATGGCCAGTCATACTGCAGCAGGGCTGCTCTGCCTGCACTTATGGCTGCCTATCACCTCTGGCACCACCATGCACTAATCTCTAACTCCCAGCCCTGTGCATGTCATGTTGTCCTCTGAGGTGATGCCAGCCTTGCTTAGCTGAGATGCAGCCTTGCTGACTACTTGTGATGGATGAGCCATGTCCACCAGTTTCCTAATCTGGCGAAAGACAGCATCCCCGCTACCTTGACAAGGATGTGTGAGCCCACAGCTCCAGGCATGAGAAAGGTGAGTCAGAGAGAAGGGTTCATGTTTTCAGGCAGGTACACAGCAGAACACAACAGCTCACTGGGAGAAGAACATCTCCATCCAGTGAAGGGTCTGCGTGTGAGTGACAGACAGGGAAAGCTGCCTGTGTTTTCCTTCCTCCAGTGGTGCTTTCTACCCCTGCCAAGAACCCAGCCCTTCCAGGTGACAGGGTCGTGCCATGGGACAGGGCTGGGTGCACTGAGCCAGCAGCAAGAGCTGGATCTCCCCACAGACCTGCGCACACGCAAACTGAAGCACACAGTGGGGAGGACCAAAACCTTGGTCAGCAGAGCCAGACACAAGAGAACTTTGCTACAGCATGCAAAGAAGGGTTGCAGCACACCTTGCCTAAGCCACCCTGCAGCTCTGTGGGCCAATGCAAGAAGGCTTTGGCTGCTGCCTGTTTGGTCTCTCCTTACTGCACCACAGGACCTGGGAAAATGTCTGGCCTTGCAACGTTCAGTGGAATTAGCATGTGCACAAGGGCTAAAGGATCTTCTTCAAGGGGAATCCCATCTCCCTGTCACCCTGCACCTGTAGCCCTCCATCCCCTCCTGGGTAATGAAGGAGGATGGAGCTGCACAGCTTCTTCCAGGGGCATATGTTCCTCTGACAGAGGCATGTGACAGGCAGGCTTCTCCCACCTTCTTGGCCTTATGCATTCTGTGGTCATACACACAGCACGGGCACTGAAAAGGCAAGCAGAAGGAGCCTTGGGCAGTAGAAACAGGCTTGTGCGTGGCAACAAAAAACCAGAAGTGAGGCTAAAAACCAGAACTGAGGATACTGCAGTAACTGAAATCAGGGGTGGCAATTTAAAATGACCAACTCTCCACAGGGATGATAAAAAAGGGGAGGGAGATTGACAGAACCTCCTTCAGGGATCCAAAGGAAGGACCTCGATGTCTCTGGCTAGTCTTACCGTATGATCAAGGCTTCCATGGCTTTGTCCAGCCATGTCTTGCATACTTCCAAGGACAGAAGTCTGCCTGACGGGCTATGCCAGGGTTGTACCACCCTCCTGGGGAAGCACTAGCCATACCCATACAGCAGCGTGGTGAATGCGTTGTTGAGCAGAAAGGCTACATACAGAAAATTGAGGATACTGCAGTTGGTTCTGGGAGAGCAGCAGGGAAGGGTTGGTAGAGAGGAGACACTGGAGGTGCTGTGGCAGTAGAAGGCTGCTGTTCCAAGGGAGGGTAGGTGGCATATCCATGCCAAGCAGTCCAGGGTGTGAGGTGGGGCATCTGGCAGCGTTTAAGACAGACTGTGGCTTCAGGCAGGGAATGGATTGGGAGGGTGCTCCAGACACTGATGTGCATGGCCAAGGTGCTGGGCAGGCTGACCGGAGACAGATGGGGGCTGGCACTACTGCTGCCAAAATGTGCCAGATGGAAGGAGTCCTCCCTCCCCTCTGCCCCCCAGCTGGACATGATGGTGCTCCACTGAGCCTGTGAAGGTCCAACCTGAGGCATCGCTGGTGTGCTTTGTGCAGCTCTTGGCTCCCATTCAGGGATTCTCCCAAGAGGTACAAGCTGTCCCCTCTCCCAGCTCTCTGGATGGCAGGTCTAACCCAGACAGAGGGGAGAGGAAGCACGGGGAGAGCAGGCTGGGGAGGGTCATCAGGCAAGCATCAAGCGCTTGTCTCCGGCATGGAACGAATGGTTTCCCGACAAGCTGCCCGCCTTGTTGCCATCAGACGCATCCCGCGAGGGGGCACAGGCTGCACTCTCTGTCTCCTCTCCCTCCCCAGCCTCCCCAGGCGCTCACACCCTGGGGTCAGGAGGCTAATCTGCAGTGAATATCTGCCACATGCTCATTCGCAGGGAGTACCAGCTGCAATTAAGTGGTGATAGCTTCTGGGGCACAATGTCCTGCGGCAGAAGAAGGGGAAGAAGAGGCTGGGGACAGGCGCCACACAGCACGCTGTGCCAAAGAGAGAAGCACAAGCCCTGCCATCCCCGCCGGCTGAATCGGTGCTGCCGCAGCAGAGGGGCTGTGGCAGGAGGAACCATTGAGGGAAGAGGTCCAGGGGACAAGGACAAGGGAGGGGGATGGCAGAGGGCTATGCGTACAGAGGGATGCTGAGGCAGGGAGAAAGGCATTGACACCTGGCTGCAGGAAATGCTTGAAACTGCAGGCAATAATGAAGCCCTAACGGGAAGGGAATTGTCCTTTCTGAGAAAGGCATACCCCTAACTCCCTTCCCTTTGGCTCAAACAATTGATGCAAAGACTTTTCTGATATGCCGGGGGCTGGGGCAAGGGCTTGAACAGCCAAAGGTGCTAAGATATCATGTATCTGCTCCAGGCATTGGGCACTTACTTGAATAAATTCCCCACCAGGCACTAGGGAGGAAATCATCGCACTCTGGAGAAACCTGACATGGCATGGATGGAGTCATATTGACTTGCAAAAGGTCTGATTTGCCATTGGGGCGGGAGGAGTTGCAGGAGTCAGGTGGGAGCTTAGCTCTCACTCTGTCCCTATAAGGCAGTGTTTTTTCAGGAGCCCACAGGATGATGGAGATGAAGGTGGCACTCTGAAGGCTTCCAATGGACTGCCCAGAGGCAGCTCTGAAACAAGCTGGAAGCCAGGCAGATGCTGTAACATGCAGGTTTGCAAGATCCAGGCTTGCAGCAGAGGGGGACGACAGGCCTTCTGTGCACCAAGGGTTGACCCAGGACCTTGGTGTTAGATCCTGAGGGTTCATGGGTGAAGACCGCATGAAGAAGGGCAGCTCTTCAGAGAGACAATGTTACAAGAGACCTGGAAGCCCCACACCAAACGGGTCTTCTGGACACACACACGTGCAGGTGTAGCAGTCTGCATGGCACTCATTGCCACCGGACAGATGGGTTTGACCACCCAGATATGAGGTCAAGAGAAACAGGGAGAATGGCATTGCTATGATGAAGGTGTCGACTGCAGCTACAGGTCATCCTTGCGTGGAGGCAAGGGCTCAGAGAAACTGCCTGGGTGCCAGGGAACAAGGAGTGCACGTAACTTCCACCTGAATTAAAGGGTCATAAAGTATTTAAAATTAAGCATGTTCTGAAATACCTTGTGATTTTGGCTTCTAGCTGCATGCAAGTTGCTTGGCTTCTTACACATCACAGTCCAAGCTTGCCATGTGAGATTTAATAACCATCTAGTAGAAGATGTCCTTGATCATGGCAGGGGGGTTGGACTAGATGATCTTTAAAGGTCCCTTCCAACCCAAACCATTCTATGACTCTGTAACAGACTTTCACCAAATGCCTGTGGTCTCCTGCAGATGAAGATCTGCCTGCTGCTCCAGGGGCTCTCAGGTCAGTGGCAGCATTTTGTTTTCCACCCGCCTGCTCCTTTTCCTCCTGGGCATCTGTCTACCACCGCTGAGGGTGCTCACATTAACCCTGTCCTACTGCAGTGGGTGTTGTACAGTCCCTACAGTCCCACAGCAGTACAATGGGACCAGAACAAAAGCCAAAGTTATCCCCATTACTTCTTCCAAAGGTGTTGACCTTGGACACATCTCTCACAACAGAGAAGGCTCCAGACATGCCACAGGCTGGGTCTAGCTGTAGCCATGCTTTGGCCTTGCAATGCTCCCAAATTCAGTGTTTCTGCTCCTTGTGTCTTATCAACTCACATCTTGATTGGTCATATCCCAGTAAGGCCGCTCGCCATACGACATCACCTCCCACATGACTATTCCGTAGCTCCACACATCACTGGCCGATGTGAATTTTCGGTACTGAATTGCCTCAGGTGCTGTCCACCGTATTGGGATCTTCCCACCCTGCAGTAAAAAACCAAAGAGGACGGTAACAGAAAGAGCAAGAGGAACTGAAAAAGATGAGTGTCCAAAATATTTGCCTCCAATATGCTGGTAAAATCCTAGACGGAAGGGACCACAGGACTATCCCTAACACTACATCAGGATGGCTGTGGCTTGTCTAGCCATGTCTGGGAAACCTTCAAGGATGATGATTCCCCCATTTGTCTGGTGACCTGTCCCAGGGCTGCACCACCCTCTTGGGGAAGAAGCTTTTCCTGTTACTCACCTTGAACCTCCCAAGCCACCGTTTTGTCTATTGCCCCTTATTATATCATCTGGTACCACTGCAAAGAGTTTGGCTCTGTCTTCTTCGTAACTGCCCTTCAAGTACTGCAGGTCACTTAGAGGTGTCCCCTCAGCCTCATCTTCATCATACTAAACAAGTCCAGCTCCTTCCACCTGCCTATTGCGACAGCAATCTTTGGCATGACAAAACGTCCATTGTGCTAGTAGGGTCTTTTGTAGAAAAATGAATGGCTATGAATGTAGAAAAATCCAAACTGATCCCTTTTGAATCTCCCTCCATCCTTTTGCTGTCACCTAGCTATCTCCAGAGCAGAATAAAAGGAATTAGAACACCCTCCTCTTCAGCTTTCTACATCTGTAGACACTTTGAAGTCAGTGAGTCTTGAGTTGAAGTCCTCGTGGGTCAGTCTGTTAATATACATGATCCAGCAGTTTTTGACCCTGCCCATTTCTGGAGACAGAGGCGGAGTGAACATCTTTAGTATGGCATGCTTGGTCACTGATGGGAAATGGGATGGACAGGGTGGGCACTGGGGTCTCCGTCATCTTGCTGGGCAACAGCAGCTCTGGAGAAATCAGAAGGGCTCTCCACTCCCATAGAGGAGTTATGCACCAAAGTGCACAAGAGTGGTGTACATGGCATGGAGCCACAGGGATTGTAATTCTCTGCTTAAGCCCTTGCAGCCTCCTAATTTTCCACCAGGGTCTTTGGACTTGAGCCATTCACAACTCAAGGGACCTTCTGAAGTGAAAATCTTCCCCTGTGCAGAAAAATAAGCAAAATTGTCTGCGTTTTGTGGCTGTGAGAAGATTAAGGAACAATATATTTTGTTGAATAACAACCATGTCTTATTAATAGGGCTCAGACCTTATACATGCTAGAAAAATTGAAAAAAGATAAAAAGTTCCTTAATCTTCTCACAGCCACAAACCTCAGACAAAATATTTTGTTTTCCACAACAGGGGGATACCAAGCATTCCATACCAAACATGATGTCCTCTCCATCAGGCATACTCTTAAGAGAGCTCCTGAGAAGCAGTGGATTTAAAAAATTACTAAAAAAGAAGTCCTAAAGTAGAAATTACAGACTGGGTATATTTGGAGGATCCTTGCGGGAACTTACTTCAGTGAGACCTCCCACCTCTCTGGTGATCTGACCCAGAGCTTCACCACCCTGTTGGAGAAGAAGATTCTCCTAAGGTCCAGCATGAACCTTCAAAGCCATAGCTTGTGGCTGTTGCCCATCCATGGACACAAGGTCTCTGGGATAATTATAATAAAAATCACTCATGCATCTTGGGATGTTTAAGGATGGTGCATTTTGAAGAGGAAGATGCTATTACTTCTGGTATTCTGCTATAGTGCGTGCATATATTCTATCATTATAGATAATGTATGTCCTGCTACAATGCCCACAGTTCAAGAAGAATAAATTAGAGATGACAGAGAGAAAAGCTACAGGCACAATAACAGGAATAGAAAACAGCAGTAAACACCAGAAGTTCCCATGTATTTAACTTAACAAAGGGAAAATTAATTGGATGTAAGGATCATGTTGTGAAAATAAATGTTGCTAGTGTTTCTAAAAGCCATAGGATGACTGTATAAGATCAAATGGTTGATGTTTGAAGCTACACAAGTTCAGATGAGAATAAAAGTGCACATTTTTAGGTGTTTGTTAGGTATCCAACTACTGTTACAATTCACTAAGAGCTATGCCAGACATCTAATCACTGGCAGCTCCAAAAGATCTGGGAAAGATGATTTCCTACAGATCATGCCCCAGCTCTAGCAACACTTATTTCCAAGAAGTCCTGTCATAGGCATTGCACGTAGGCATTGATCCTGTAGCATCACTGTAGAGCAATGCTGTACGCCTTTGCAAACAATGGTATTTATGAGAACTCCTGGCTGCAAGCTTACTGAACAACAAAGTCTTCAAATTATCCTTTGGTCCCAGTGCATGTTCTATAGCCTGAGACAGGCCATGAGTCCTCGGTGGCACTAGCATCACTGGTACTGTGGCATTCCTGGGAAGGTGCTACATGATCATGAAGCCATTTCTGGGAAGGTTTCTCTGTCTACTTCAGGCAGACTCTCTGGAAGACCAGTATCTAGTACTGCAGGGCTTCGCCCAGCATGCATCCACACTTCAGTCTGTCATTCCTGGGGCTGAGCCCTTGACATGACATGAAAAAGGATCATGGCCTCCCAGACAGCAGGGCAGCACGACTGGACAGTGATGGTAAAAAAATCCCAAATGTGCTGCTCTGGCAACAAATCTGTAAGGGCAGCATCTCGGTGGGTGGGTATTATGCATCATCCCAACTAAGGGCTTTATCAGGGAAACGTATATGTTTGCAGACATGTTTGGAAGAAGGCTCAGTTATCCACAGGAATGGCTATAGGGCCCATCAACAGCCACTGGACAACTGGACAGGACCTTGCAAGAGAAAATCTTCCTTGGTACATTTAATTGGTCTTTCCCATCTGGCACCTTATTTCCATTGTTGGCACCCTGAAAAAGTGCTCCCCATGTCAAGGGGGGGATCTCCCCCCTTCCCTCTCTCTCCCTGACTCCTTCCTTCACCACCCATCCCTCCCTCTCTGGAAGAGCAGCTTTACCAGTGCACTGGTGTAGGTGGGATCAGAGGTGTCATCCTCCAGAAAACGGGAGAGGCCAAAGTCAGACACTTTGCAGACCAGGTTGCTGTTCACCAGGATGTTGCGGGCAGCCAGGTCCCGGTGCACGTAGTTCATATCGGCCAGATACTTCATGCCTGCTGCAATACCCCGCAACATCCCCACCAGCTGGATCACTGTGAACTGCCCATCGTTTTGCTTAGGGGAAGAGAGGGAAAGAGTCCACGTGAGAGGAGCGAATTCACAACCCGCCACTGTCCAGCAAACAGCCAGTAGCCTCTTTCTATGCTGCTTGTCAGGACACAACTATGCCATGAGTACATACGTTCCCTCTCAAAAGCAAGAGGGTGGAGAGTGGAGAGCTCACAGGGGCTGGAAGTCACCCTCATGCACCCTCTGGTCATTACTACCGATGGCTGCTGTCATCCAAAGGTGGTGGATCTGCCACACCTTGCACAGGAGGGTTCAGAAGGGGCAATCTATTCCTATTAAGCAGGTTATCTCCCTTCATCACAGCGAATTATCCATTTCAAACTCAGACCTATAAATATTTAGACAGAGCAGCTGGAGGTGAAGTCCTGCTGTGTTAAAGCTATGTCAGACTGCCCCTCCCTGTCCACAGAGGCAGAGTTTGCACATGCATCTGTGGGCATGTGTACAGGCAGGCACCGCCTTTTGCTAGTATGAGTGGACAGAAACACATAACAGATGACAGCCTTGGTGCCACCTCCACCTCTGTTCCTGAGACACAGACCTCTGGACTGTGCAGCAGCTGCCCCAGTGGCAGGGGATGCTGGGCCGTGAAGGGCACTTGTTATACTGGCACAGGGAAGGGAATCCCCTCCAGTCCTCCTCCAGCCCAACACAGTCTCTGGAGCTGCATGCTCCTGGGATCTCATACCCGCAAGAAGGAGTCCAGTGAGCCGTTCTCCATGAACTCAGTAATGATCATCACCGGTGAACTCTTGGTCACCACTCCCTCCAGGTGGATGACGTTGGGGTGGTCAAACTGCCCCATGATGCTGGCTTCACTCAAGAAGTCCCGTCTCTGCTTCTCTGTGTAACCAGACTTCAGGGTCTTAATGGCCACAAAGATCTCTCTTTTGCCAGGAAGCTTGAGATGCCCACTGCACACCTCACCAAACTCCCCTGCGAACAGAAGGAAACAGGTAGGGCTTGTCAGCCTCCCAGACCGCTGCCTTTCTCCTTGAGGGACCCTGCTCCCACCGGCTCCAGCCGTGCCCACCTGCTATGCCCCTGAGCTGACCACCCATCATCCGATCTGTGCTTCCACCCTCACTCCACACCAAAGACCTCCCTTCAGGTGGACTTATCATTGGTAAGGAGCACTGGACAGGGGACTAAATGCACATGGGAACTCTGTCTCCAGCACTGGACCACCTTGGTCCTGCTAGTCCAGGCTGGGGCTAAGTATAAGACCTTACTGACACTAGCCTTCCCAGTACCTGTAAGAAGGCTAAATCCTCACCAAAGCCTGGGACCACGAAGGAGACTGCTGCTGAGGGTCAGCCAGACATTCACAGTTCACCTACCTGCCCCGATCACCTGCTCGATTTTGACACAAGAGATATCGATTTCTTTTGCAAACTCCCTGACAGCCTCATTGGGATCTTCGTAGGTGAATGGATCGATATAAATCTTCATCCCTGGAGTCACTGCATAAAGGTGAAGGAGAGAGTCAGACAGACACATGGAAATGGCACAACTGATGGCTGGCATCAAGGAAAAGAGAAACCTATTCACGTGAGGGTCTTTTTTACCTCAGCAAGTCACATAATCAAGGGCATGAAGCAGACACAGCAAAGCAGTTTGACAAAGAACATGCAGAGCCATGTTTGCACAGGACTGTTAAAGCTGGATTATAATGAATATTGGCCCATAAGTCATTGTTGGGGCAATGGAGGGCTACATCATTAGCTAGGACTGCAAACTGCGACCACAGAGAACCACACATCCTCTGCAGCAGGACTGGACTTCAGCAGATCCAGAGGAAAAGCAAGGGAAGCATTTGTTCTCAGGAGATGGCGCGTAGGCACACCAATGTCACACCACACTTATCATGCTGCAACACTGCAAGAGGACCGTTTGTAGAGACTGCAGCTCTGCCCTGCTGGCCTCCTCTGTGTCCTGCTTCCACCTCAGCACACCATTCCCTCAGAGGCATGGGAAGGTGGAGGAGGAGACCTGGGCTCAGCACTCAAGACAGGAGATGGGGAAGGTCCGCCTTGGGATGTAAACTGAGGCACATGCTGCTCTTGGTTCTCTACAGGCATTCTCTCTATAGGGGAGGCAGCTCTAGGCACTTGGTACTACAGACACAGCCATCAAGCCAGACTGAATCCTCCACAGGGGTGTCTGTGACCCTTCCAGGGGCACTGCAAGCAGGACAGACAGTCCAATCTGCCCGCTGTTCTCCTGACAGGTAACCCTGCCTGAGGCTGGGTTCTGTCTTGGTAGCCTCGACATGGCCAAGACAAGCTGAAGGGGACACTGGGGAAATTGCAAAAGCCGAGCTCTTCCTGCTAGGCAGAGCAGAAGACACAGCGATATGCTTATGTGAAAGGCAATGGCCATGGGACCTGGTGAGGTTGGACTGCTGATGCCACATCGCACTCTACCTACACCATGGGACAGCTGCAGTCCTCCCCTATACTCATTTTACTGGCCTCTGGCTTGCTCCAAAATTGGGGGTATTTGGAGAGCAGAGCTCATAGCTCACTAAATAAGGAGCCCAACACAGAACCAGAGGCATGACTCCCAGCTCCACAAGTAGCAAGCTGGTAGGATTCACAGGAGTTGCTGCAATGCTTACAGGCTCTCTGCACCTCGTCAATCTGCTAACCCTAAGCTGTAGCCTCTCCAGAGCAATCACTGCTGGGGAGCCGAGCAGGGATTGTGCCTTGGACTGGTGTGTTGAGTGACAATGTGGCTAAAAGGCACCCCAGGCCTGTTATCAATTCATCTGCAACTGGTGGCATTGAGCCTGTTCCAACAGTCGTAAAGGCACAGCTATGAATGCCATCCCAGCCTGAAGCTGTCATATTATACACCAGACCCCAGGAGAAAGCGTGAATGTATGTTTACACATGCAGCACGGACTGACAAACAACTGAGAGTTGCATTTACATAATCTTTCCTGAAGAGTGTCATTTCTCCTGGTAAGTTATAGCAATGCAGCCAGCACACTGCTGCTCTGGCACAGAGCTGCAGTTCAGTGCTCTGCCTTTTGGGAAATGTTTCCTAGGTAAATGCAGGAGCAATAGTGAGTCCTGTGCTGAAACAATACTGACGTTTTCCATTCTCTGACCAAGGCTCAGGTTTGTACAGGAACAAGGTAGAAAAAGGACAGAAATCCTGAAGCTGCAAGTATAACAAGGTAAATAACAACTGAGATTCGAACAAAGCAGGATTATTGCGACAGGTCTCTAGTGAGGAAGGAGAAAGGCATTTCAAAGGGCATGCAGCCAGGGGTTAATAAGGGGAAGGAGCAGGCACTGGGGTGAGGCAGGGTGTGCAGTGAGGCTGAGAGCAGGAATGCTGGATGTGAGGGTGTGCCTTGGAGTACACAGGGATGTTGGAAGAGGGAGGCTGCAAGCGAGCGATTGTTACATATTGTATTATATATATACCTATATAGATAGATATATCTCACATCTCCTAGGATTCTGGGAGCACTGGGATGGGCTCTAGCAAAGGCACCACGAGGTATGTGGATTCCTGCAGAAGGACAGTACTCTGCAGGAGGTGGGTAGATTGGGAAAAGGGTCTCACTGCTGCCTGCAAGCTAGGCAGAGCTCAGGAGTTGAAGGAGCAAGACAAGATGTGTTGGCAGGGGCTGCACCGCAGAAGAGGGTGAGGCTTCAGAGATGTGTGTTGGATGTCACAGGGGGTTGTAGAGCACGCACGGCATGGTTGGCATGTGACAGCACACAGGTCTGGAGAGCACGGACTCTACAAGGCAGGGCAGGGATCTAGATCATAGGGGACCGGTGGGGGATCCAGACAGCACGGAGGTCCTCCTGTCTACACATGCACATGCCTGCCCGGCTAGGTGGCCTGAGCCCTCCCCGCATGCCGCAAGGAATGAGTGAACAGGAACACAAACCGAAGAGAGAGCGGACCCCCAGGCCTGGCGGGGGGCCGCGGTACGTACTGTGGCCACTGGTATAGTGCTGCAGCTTGTCGGTGTACTCAGAGTCAGCACGCTCAAAGCCCCGTCTTCTGGAAAGAAAGAGAGTCCTGAGCACCAGCACGGGTCCATGAGAACTGAGAGACACACTCCAGGGACATCTCTTTCCCCCTTCACCTTCCTGTCCCCACTCTCCTCTCCCCTACCCTTGCCACCCTCTGTCTTCAGTCAGAACCCCCTTGCACAGCCCCAGCCCTGGGTCATGCGCTCAGACTGACCTACCTGTTGCACACAATAATGATGACGACTACAGCAATGAGGAACACCAGTCCTGCTGCGGAGGAGCCGATGATGAGTGGCAGCTTCTCCTGGACACTGGTCTGGTACTCGGCTGGCATGCAAGGAAGAGGGAACAGGTTACTGCCGCGCAGGATGGGTCCACGCTAACAAGTTCATCAAGGTCAGAGCGTGGCCCTGAGCACTGCCCACATTTGCATGGCTATTGCTAATAGGCTTCCTGGCAGGGTTTTGGTCTGGGACAGCTAGTGCTGTCCCAGGCATGGCTCAGGTTGGCTACGACAGGGGATGTGCACCAGTAGGAGGGTTGGATGGAGCTATGCCTTTTGGGTGGGTAAGTTTAGTCCCATGGATGCATGCATGCTGTGCCTTGCTCCTTGGCCTCAGGGACAGAAAACTGGCTTGGCCTGTTTTATTTAGCAGCACACATTTAGAAAACAGAGGCCTAGGTCTGCATTTGTCATCAACAGCTGTGCACATGAAAATCATAAATTTCATTTCCTCTAAATCCAACTGAATGAACATGCCCCCATGCCAGAAAACTTGGCAGAAATTGGCCTAGATTATGTGATTCCCTGCATGGACTACCAAGTGCCCATGCCTCTCTCCAGGTCTTGCCAGGTTGAATAAATGCATCCGACTTGCCAATGCACCCTTGAAGGGACCAACAGCAAGGGGACCAGCACTGCTGCCAGTGCATCTCCATCTCTCTAGTCTCTCAAGTCTCTCTAGACTCTGTGTCACCTTTATGCAGAGGCAGCTCACGACTCACCTTCAGTCATGGTCTGGAAATACATCTTGCCACTATACCGGCCATACCCAGCCACAGTACGTGCCCGCACCTGGAAGACGTAGATGGTGCCAGCTTTGAGGTTTTGTACTGCCACAGTGTTGGTGGGGCTCTTCACTGTTGTCGAATTTAACTCACTCAGATCCTGACAAGAAAATAGAAATCTGTCATCAGAAAAATGAGTCCAGAATCAAGCGCTGCATTTCTAGAAGGAGGAAGCACAGGAGACCAGGGTAGCATGGGTGGAGAGACCACCATGGGGAGACGATGGGCCTCTACAAACAGGTCATTTCTCTGAGCCTGCCTCCCGGCAGGGAGACACAGAAGCAGGAATGGGAGTACAGATATCCCCGGGCTACCCACCACCTCTCAGGAAAGGCTCTGATGACGGTGTTAGCTAGAAACCTCAGGTCGCTTCTCCAAGCCTTAAGCTCAATGGGGATGTGAACTGTCCTTCTTCCTCACCCCCTCCTCCTGTGCCTGATCCAGCCTCAGCACCCTCTCCATTTGCTCTTCCCCATCTCCCTTTGCCTGTGCTGGAGGTAAAGTCTAGCTGAACACAGGGTTTTGGACCTCAGGAGAAGTACTGCTACCATCCCGCTGCCCAGGGTCTGCTTCACCAAGGACCATGGGTAGGTTTTCAAAGCTGGGGAACCAAAGAGCATATTTAAAAGTGACAGTGAAACTACTTCCAAATTTCTGTCCTACCCCTTGTGTGCTGTTTTTCTAGCTGAGGACTTGAGCAGTCATATCATAACGGTATAAATGGTATTGCACTTGTGTAGGTGATGGATCCATCACTGCCCTTAGTAACTATGCCCTTAGCTGAGCATCTAGAAGCACTAGTGGATGGGCCACAATCTCCCTGTGCTAGCCACTATACAAGAGAACAGACAGTCCCTGTCCCCCCCAGGGACATGGAGAAACAGGTCAACAGAGGAGGATGAAAGGTGGTACTGAACATGGTGCCTCCTATGATCAGGGCAAGGTGGCCAGGTGCCTGGCAGCCATGAAGTCCTGAAAGTCAGTGCAAAGCAGCAATATATGCAAACAGCATGATGTTTCTGGAAAACAGAAAAATCTTAGGAAAGCCAAGCTGTGAGTATGAGCCCCTATAAAAGGAGGCACAAGCATGGATTTTTGAATCAAATTTCTGTAGCTATGTTGAAAGTGCTCATCCTTTCTGGTAACACCTCTGATCTGGCAGGTCAGGCTGCCTTGGCAGGATCACTCACTGGAACAGATCAGCAGCTGACAGCTCAAAACCTGAGCTGGCAAGTTTACAAGCAAGTCCCTGAGATGTCCTAACTTCAAGTCACTGCAAAGGGCTCAGCAAGCCCAGGGACTCCCACCCCACAGACTCACCAGAGAGGTGAGATGATAACCTCAAAAGAAGTAGGCAGGAACTGGCAAAAAGAAGAAGTCAGACACACAGTTTTTGCAATCCCATCAAGTGGGACTGAAGGTGTGATCAAAGGACTGGCCTTTTGTCTCAGCTGTGAAATGCCACCAGAGGGGCATGGAGGGATTGTTTCTCATACTGTACTACCATGAGCTCTGAGTGAAACTCCCAGCGAGGAGCGAAGTGTCCACTCCTCCTCACCATTCTTCTGCAGTGGACTCCTGAAGGACAGAGGGTATCAAAGAGGCAATCAGGCAGAAGGTCCCATCTTGTGATGAACCGAGGAAACCTCACACAAAGGTGCAAGTTGCACAGGCTGTTGCTCCCTTGTGCTGCTTTGGCTGCCTGCAGGCAACGGTGAAGCAGAAGTCAATGGAGAGTCTTGCACTCAACTTTGCACACCCTTTGCCTACAGGGGGCTGTGTCCTCAGCCTCCTCAGCTGCTGGACCACAAGATGAGTCAGAGGTTGTCTTGCCCACCAATAAATGATGGAGTTTGCCTTTGGGGGCTGCTGGTCTCCTTTCTTTTCCACACTCCACATTGCTAGCTATCTGGTGACTTTGCTTTCATGGTCATTCACTTCTGAGAAAGGCACTGGTGCCTTCACTCAAGGGAATCTTCTGCACAGCCAGAAGCTGCAGTACCAGCAACATTAGAGATCCACAAAGAACAGTCATTCACTACGGGGCTCCATAGAGCAGACCATGTTGAACCAATGTTCTCTTCATGTTCCTGGAAGAGCCTGGTGCTTTCTCAATTAGTCATCGTGCTGGAGCAGAATTGCAAGTGGACTGGCATTTGCAAGATGGGTTATACTCATGACCTGGGTTTGTGCAGACTATTTGCCTCAAAGCTGCAAAGCAGCTGAAAGACAACATTCATGGAGTTAACTGCTTGTATTAAGCTTCTGATTGAGCAGTGCTGTGCTGTGGACGGCTGGTAAGAGAATGGTCTGGCAGGAACGTGTTTCTCCAAGTGTGCAGTCAAACTGGGAGGCTTGGAAATGCCAAGAGCACATCATTCTGCAGGGTAATGCAGAGCAGCTCTGCAGATGCCTGGGAGACCTCCACTATGAACAGCATTCAGGAACAGTTTTCTCTTCCGAAAACTACAATACCAGTTTTATCCACCTGGACCTGGTGCTGAAGGTGCCTGGGTATCACTGGGTTGTTTTGAAATTAGACTAATGACAACGAAAAGCTCTAGTACAGATACACAGACAAGAAAGATCAAGAAAAGATGAGCATGCAGAAAAGCGATTGCCTTATTTGTCTGATCAGGCCTCAGCACTCCCTTGGACCCTTCCCAGGCAGGCTAGGAGAGAAACGGGTCAGGAAATGTTTACAGTTTTAGTGCTTAAGGGCTTGGATGAATTCTCACAGGCCCTTGGATGGCACTAACAACACAGTTGTTTTAAAATCATTTGTCCAACTGTTTGAGGGAACCTCATCCCTGCTCCTGGAGGACTTAAAATTGAATGCAATGGGCATGCTTAGAAGACAGTTTATAGCCCGGGAAATTGATGTCTGTCTATCTCAGAAAGGTGTGCTAATGCTGGTGGTGCTCTCTTTTAATCCCAGACCGCAAGGAAAGAGCATTTACACCTCTCCACCCTCCCTTATCAGACTTATTCTTTCCTCTTGGCATATTGCTCAGCCATCACCTCTCCAGCAATTCACTTCAAACACTTCTCCCCTTTCACCGCTCTGGGCTTCTGCCAGCAGGTCCAGGGCATCCCAGGTGGTTTAAAGTCCAAATCCCTTTGCTGTTTCTCCCAGCTTGTTTTTTTTGCAGAGATTTGGTGGTTGGTTGTTTTGTTTTTTTTCCCCTGCTGATTTTGGTTTGAGTTTGGAAATCCTAATTCAAAATAACACACTTATTTCCTCAAAGGTTTGACTTTGAGTCCTTGTCTGGTTCCCCTTTCCCTGAGCCAAATTTAAGCTGAAACCAAAGTCTGATCAACAAAGAAAGAGTTCCTTGAAACACAGATAGTCTGTGAAATGCTCGAAGGATTTGCAAAAATTGTTTCTATAAAGTCATGTTTTATCAGCCAAAAAAAAAAGCCAAAGAAAAATGTCAACCGACTTAATTTGGCAGACAGCTCCTCTGTGCGTCTGCACAGCAGCAATCTGCTGTGGTTCCTGAAGCAAACAGAGCCACACGTACAAAGCTAGTCCAAGGCTGTATGCCAAATCATCACACACATCTGAATTTCGGCCCCCATGGGATCGAGTATGTTAGGAGGGATGCTCAGATGTGGTAACAGGGTCCTGCTGGCCACTCTGGGGGTGGATCCATGGGGTCCACAGCTCCCAGACTCTCATGGGGAGCATGACTTGTGGGGAGATCTCAAAAGCATTTGGCCTCCCAGCCAGGTATCTGATCAAGTGAATTGTGGTAAGAGTGTCTGGATGCCTCTCACAAGAAAACTGAGCCCCAGACAGAAGCAGCATGGAGCCTGGGCAGGGACTGGGACTGCAGGAAACCTAATGCAGGGCTCCCTGGCAAGGTTGCCTCTTAATATTCTTGATCTCACAGTCTTCCCCAGACAAAGCCCTCTCCAAGTGTTTGGGCAGTACGGGGGGAAGGGGCATCCCAGCTCTCGCTCCATCCTGGGGCAGGTGGGAAACACCAGGCAGCAGCTTTGGCCCCAGGCTTGGGGATGCTGGTGTCCAACACTGCAGGCTGGAGACCAAGAAAGTCCTCTGAGCCAGCCCGGGAGCAATGCTTCCAGCTGTCCTTGGTATGAGCCCTGGTGACACCCAGTCCTGGGGATGCTGGGCTCCTGCCAGAAGCTCCTGGGCACCACAAAGGCTACAGCCAGCTCTACTCCCACCTCCACCATCAGCTGCCACAGGTCACCTCTCCCAAACCCTTCAACCCCCCCAGCCACCCCATGCCCTTTCCTCAGCATTGGCTGGAGATATCAAAGGGCTCCTGTGCCTCTAAAACATTTGCATTAGTGACCGAACTGGGCACAATGGATGGGTTGAATGTCTTCAAACAATTACAAAATACTAACTTACAGCATACCCTAAACCCAATCACTTTGCATAACAAAGAGACCTAATTATTCTTTGCAGTGCCTGACACTGCAGTGGGTCTCCAGTTTCCACACTCCAGGATGAGTTTAGCGACTTTGGATAAAAACTACTATGCCCTTTCTAAATGAAGACAACACTCACTTTTTTAGTAAGACAAACATTGGCAGGTGCCTCTTGGAGGTTAAAAAAAATATACATTAAGGAGAGGACCATAGAGACCAGACACGTCATTCAGTGTTTGTGTAACAATCTGCACTGATTTGCTCTAACTATATGTGAAAGAAAATCATAATGTTGCCTCTGTACAGGCATTTTTAATAGCATCTAATAATAGCAATGTTATAAATAATCTGTGAAATGGAAACAAAAATATACCTGTTTCAGGTATTGTGAACAGCTCTTTTCTGTTAATGCTAAACCACTTATTCCAATTTTTTAAATTTAATTTATGTCTTTATATAGAAGAGAATCAATTCAAAATGAAGAGCCGAAACACTTTTTATACAAGATGCGTATGCTGCTATCCTTACATTTGAACTGTTTTCATGTTAATAAAACATAATTTTCTACTGGCGCAAAAAAAATTCCACTAGAAACAACTTAACTAGCTCCAGAGATATTTTCTGAGCATTCAGAAGCACATGGGACAGTTTGCAATGAAACATTTTGGAAGAAAATCACCTCTGTACAGACTGGCAGTCGAATGAGAACACACCTGGGATGTGTCACACACCCCATCCAAATTGCAGTATTGATGTGAAGCAGGGGAAGAGCATGGCACATACAAAGCTGTGCATTTTGGGACTGTTCCCAGGGATCAAGTAAATGGCTTTCAATTGCAGAACTCAGTAATGCAATGGCTAGACTAAAATGAGATTCAGCTCTGCCAAGCAGCCAGAGAAGGATATAGTGTCATTGCGTTGTTGAAGATGCAGAGGGTCTTGACTGAGCAGACGAAGCATATGAAGACCTTGGCTAGTGATGACTAGTGGTGGATCAGACCTTGAGTATGCAACTGGGACTTCAAAGTAAAGGCTGACACACACAGAGGAGTTTGGGGAGAGACAAACCTGCTGCCATTGGCCAGGCCCTGCCTCTAGTTCTTGGTTATTCCACCTTTTTAACCTGTTTCCAAATCCTCTGAGATTTGCTTGCTGTGGGACTAAGCTTTGACTCAATGATCCCTTTCTGAGAATGACATACATCTTGGCTGGGGAGGAGATAAAGACATGTCTTTCTTCTTCAGCCAAAGCACTAGCAAAAAAATATACCAAGAGGTTCAAATGATTCTGTCCCTCTACTTCGCTCTGCTGAGATCCCACCTGCAGTACTGTGTCCAGCTCTGGAGTCCTCAGTACAAGACAGACATGAACCTGTTGGAGTGGGTCCACAGGAGGGCCACAAAAATGATCAGAGGGCTGGAACACCTCTCCTGTGAGGACAGGCTGAGAGAGTTGGGGTTGTTCAGCCTGGAGAAGAGAAGGCTCTGGGGAGACCTTATCAGGGAGAAGCCTTTCGGTACTTAAAGGGGGCTTACAAAAACCACAGGGACAGACTTTTTAGTAGGACCTGTAGCAATAAGACAAAGGGTAATGGTTTTAAACTAAGAAAGGGTAGATTCAGACTAGATAAAAGGAAGAAATTTTTTGCAATGAGGGTGATGAAACAGTGGCACAGGTTGCCCAGAGAGGTGGTAGATGCCCCATCTCTGGAAACATTCGAGGTCAGGTTGGATGGGGCTCTGAGCAACCTGATCTAGTTGAAGATGTCCCTGCTCATTGCAGGGTGGGTGGAACTCGATGACCTTTAAAGGTCCCTTCCAACCCAAACCATTCTACGATTCTATGAAATATGAGAACAGAGAGCGCCTCAGCACCAGCATGTGGGGCTGCTTGTGTTGTCCTCTCTGCCAGGGCTAGTGCTCCACCTGAGAGCTTGCTGCCATTTCAGGCATTGCCTGAGTGTGGCTTGGGCCACTTGTCCCCATGATCAGGGACATGCTGTGCCCTAAACTCTGCCAATGGGGCAAGCAGATGCTCACCTTGCAGTTGGCTGCGAAGACCAACCACGAACAGCAGCTTGCCCTTTAGACAAAAATTCCCTTTATTTACAGCCTCCCCCAGAAAACAGAGGGGAGGGGGAAGAAAGAAAGAGGGGGAGAGATTAAGAGAAAGTAAGAGGAGGAGAATGAACTCCCTGAGATCTTCTATCTCTATGCTGAGGGTCCCTGGGGAGAGGACCCCACTTGCCTTCCAGATCTGTCTTGTTAACTACTCATCCATCTTGCCACATATTCTGGGATCATTTCCAAGGGTCAAATAAATGGCTGTGATTTATGCAATATAGGTCAGGACCTATTTAACAGCTTACAAAGAAGCTCCCCCCCCTCCCCGTTCTCCCTCTGGCTCTTGGTGATGAGAAAATAGGTCACAGGCAGGCAGTGGGGGGGATTAATCATTTCTTCCGGCAACTGCTGGGAAAAATATTTTCAGTTCCATTTAATCATAAAGCTTTTTAATTAGTTAGTTTGCAATTTTTAATGTATAGTTTATAAGCCCTTGTGTAAGGGGGCAGATTCCTGGAAGGAGAAATCTCCTGCTCCCCACCTCCCCCAGGTAGCACAGATGAAGTTCACCAGCCAGACAGAGCTTGGCAGGTCCTGGGACCAACATCAGCATGGTCTTCAGGTCTCTCAGCAGCCACATAACTCCAGCCCCATGGGATGGACACCCTGGCACAGCCCTGGCTTGCAGTCCCTGTGCTCACCTGGGCAGGAAGGAGGTGGAAGGGGCATGTTCCTGAGGGATGAAAGAGCCAGAGCTGTGCGACCCCTTCACATCAGCCCCCCCGACTCTGTAGTGCAGTAGGTACCCTCCATGGGAGTATGGGACAGCTTCTCCCTGGTACCACACCTGAGTTCAGGCTGCTGCACACAGATGTCAAACTCACCTTTGGTGTAAACATGCTGATGGACAGGTTTATACAAAATCTCAAAGACTGGTCACTCAGCTAGTGTGGTTCAGCCTGGGACTAGATGCTGCCTACCATACCCATTCCCCTCCAGTGCCCCAGTAGGGGAAGGGGAAAAATTAGACCCTGGACCCTGGCTACCCAGGTCTCCCTGCAATGGGTCCACCTGCCACAAGTGCTGGAGAGGTGAAGGGAGAAGCTCCTCCTGAAAGACCAGCAGATCTTCCACATTTGCAGTGTCTACACAGGGTCTCCACCACTGGGCTCTAAAGGGCTGACAGTCACTGCCACCCACACGACCAACCGCAGCAAGAGAAGTAACCTATTGATCAACCAACTGCTGTAGCTGGTCTTATGCCCTCACATGAAGCTTTGTACCACCTCCTTTCCCATAAACCTACAGCTGAACCCTGCCAAGGTCCCGCAGTACCTTCTCATAATATTGCAGCTCATAATCCAGGATGACTCCGTTGGGTTGGTCAGGCTGAGACCATGAGAGAGTAATGCTGTCCACGGTGCGGCTGACCTGGTGCATGATGGACACAGCTGAAGGAGCTGGAAGAGAGAGCAAGAGAGAGGCCTCAGTGAGATGCCTGCACGGGCAGCACCCGCATCCCCTGGCTGGAGGCAGGCAGGTGTATTATTGCTATTTGGAGCTACTGAATTCACTTCCAGCAGTGGCAGGGCTGTCCAGGGGTCAGGAGATCCTGGCTTTTGCTGTTTGTAGAGAGCAGTTAGAGGAGAGCAAAATGTTTCCACTGCTCACTAAGAGTTTGTCATTAGAAACCATTTAGGGCAGTGTCTCAGGCAGGAAAACAGATCATTCCCAGGCAAAACGAGCCCAAGGTTGGAGCAAACACAGCCTTGTTCCCCTGGAAAAGGACTATCAGCCCAGCAACACGTAATTCTTCCTGCTTGCTATGGGGAAGTAGGGGGTTTTGTACTTTGACATTTGCATAGAGAAGCTTTACAAGGCAGAGGCAGAGGCAAACGCAGGAAGCAAGCAGCTCCTCTCTGCCTTGGTGTGCTAGGTCTGCAAGTTGCACATGCCAATCAAGGGAGGTGCATACAGCAGCCTGAGCAGGCAACGCAAACCTGACCTGACATGCTGACAATGGTGAGTCGCCCGCCTCGTCAGAGTGCCCTGGAAATAGCACACCCACAGACGCCACTTGTCCCACTGAGCACAATGGGACCTTCCAGCAGCTCCTCAGACAACCCAGCCAGCTGTCCACCCCTTGCACTGACCTGCATTGCCTACGTGGCTTGACACAGGGCCAGGTAGGAACAGTGCAGTCTTGGCTGGTGCTGCACCTTGGGAAAAGTGCCCTCCAGGGACCTGTGCTAACAAGTCCATGGGGCAGGGACCACAGCGTGGAGCTGCCACCTCCCTGTGAGACTCTGACCAGCTCTGATCCTGCTTGCTGTGGACCAGGGCAGGTGAGCAAGCAGCCTGGACCGCTTTTAATCCGGTTGGCTCAGGTATTGATAGCATGGATGCCACAGCATTGCCGGTATCAGCCTACAGCCCCCCACCCTTGCTGGAGCGGCTGACACACATGGATGCGTGTGCTCCCTGCTCTTCACTGCATCTGAGACCGGTGAGCCGAGCACACGTCCTTGCCCGCCCTGCACCCAGCCTGCTGATGGCACTGCCAACACAGCCTCCATGGACGTCAGTCCAAAGGCCATCCCAGACCTCACCCAGTGCCAGCCCAGCCTCGGAGAATGCTAACTCCAGCACAGCGTTAGTCCTGGCACACCTGCCAGCACAGATTCACTGCTTCAGCAGCTTCAGGGCAGAGGGGAAGCCTCAGGGGTGGGAGAGGACTGGAAAGTGGTAGCGAGAAAGCTTCCCCATCACTTGCATGCCAGGCCTGGTTACAAATGGATGCAGAGAGGCTTGCACTCAGAAGGGTTTTTACCAGGTCCAACCTTTTCAATATTTCATAGAACAACTCATTTGACAGCTCTGAGAAACAGCTTGGAGGAGCGGCACACAAAGCACAGCACCTCTCACCCATCTCCAGTCTGGTTTCCCTTGGCATCACAAGCAGTGACAGAAACCATGCCAGCTGAGGACTGCAGACACAGCAGTGGTAGGACTGCACTACTTGGACCAGTGTGGCTGCAGCATGTTCTTGCACATCACTGTAATGAATTACAGCTGAGCAACTCCTCTCAAAGCATACCAGCAAAAGCCATTTTTATGATCCACTGTCTTTGCCTCTTCACTACTGGTTTTCTGGTTTCACAGCACTGTGGCTCCCAGGATGTTCAATGCCTGTGTGCCAAGGGGAGTAGGGGCCAGGTATGAGTAAAGCAAAACCTGCCACCACACTGCTGCACCATTTCCCTTCATCTCCCTGGGTTTCCCCACCTTTGAAGGAAGGTGCAATGCAGGTCAGCCTCAGCAAAATGTTGGCAATCTCTGGTTTTGTCCAGCACTTACTAAAACTGAACGAGGGCAGAGAACTTCCATCATCAGAAGTGTTCAAGGTCAGGTTGGATGGGGCTTTGAGCAACCTGATGTAGCAAAAGCTGTCCCTGTCCATGGCAGGGGGGTTGACTAGATGACCTTTAAAGGTCCTTCCCAACCCAAGCCATTCTATGATTCTAACAGATTCTGAGACCAAAGCCTCACCTCCTCCCAAACGCCAATCCCTCCATCCATTTCTGGTTAAGCCAAGTCTCATTACCCACCAGTCTGAAACTCTCTGTATCATCTCAGATGTTCCCTTGCTCTGTGGCATACAGCACTGCTTCCCTCCACCTTAACGTCCCAGTCCCACCGCTTCAGGGCCCATATTTACAAACTCCTGGGATTAGTTTCTCATGCCGGTGTTAAGATAAAACATAGGTAACACAGGTAACACTTCTGGAGCCTGTCAGCTCTTGCCAGAGCTTGCTGCTTCCTCATCGACACAGATTTCATAGGACATCTGCAATCTCCAAGACAAACATTTCTCTCTGTGGAGAAATGCCTTGGAAGGAAGATGTGACCAAGCTACAGATCGCCCTGCAGAAGGGATTGGGACTGGACTGAGTATGCAGCCTGTGGTCTCTCTGGCACATTCGAGCTGCACACACTCTGGGAACTGATCCCACACTTACACAGGCTATTCCAGGACGGGGGCTGCACACACCCAGACCTGTCTCACCACAAAACTGGGATGTGGCAACATCCCATGATTTAGACACAGGGTGAATGGCTGACCTTGCAGCTGGAAAAGCTCTTCAGCTCCAGGTCCCTCCAGGTAGGAGTGAGGTCCCTGGGATGCTCTTCTCCCACTTCCATGCATGTGTGAATCATTTGTGACCAGCCATGGACCAGGCAGCTGCGTACTTTGTGAACCTGCCCTCATCTGGCTCAGAAAAAAGAACCAAATGGATGAGGTGGGGCTCATCTAATGAGCCTTAATGAGGCAAATACACTGCATGTTAGGAAGGAGGCAGGTGAGATGAATGACTACAGCAACTTCAGCGCTCTTCCTACACCTGGGGCAAAGGAGAGTCTCCGGATAGGCAGGAACCTCCACCATTGCGTCTTCTCAGTAACTGCTCTTGTTATCACAGACATCAGTGAAATGCACAATAATAAAATCACAGAAAGCCTTAGGTCAGAAGTGACCTCTGGAGGTTTCTAGTCCAACTGACTTGCAGAGTAATTTCAAAGTCAGATCACTTTGCTCAGGACCGCATCCAATTGAGATCTGAGTATGTTCAGGGATGGGGATCTCACAGGCCCTTGGAGCACCAGCGGCCAGCTTCCTCGCTCTTGTGGGGAAGAAGCTTTTCCTTGCGTCCCATTAGAACCTCCTCCATCGCACCTGGAGGCCATTACTACTGTCCTCTCACTGTGCACTTCTGGGAAGAGTCTCGCTCTGTCTTCTCTTTAAACTCCCTTTTGAAGTGGAAGACTGTAGCTAGATGGCCCTTGGCCTCCTCCTCTCCAGGCTGGCCAAACCCAGCTCTCTCAGCTATCCTCACGTCTTGTGCTCCAGCCCCTGGCCCATCCTAGTGATCTGCTCCTGCTAGACCTGCTCCAGTTTATTGATGTCTCTGTAGTACTGGGGAGCCCCAAAGTGGACAAGTACCCCAGATGTGGCCTCATGAGTGCCAAGCAGATGGGAACAATTAATATCCTCTATTTTTTGCCTGTGCTCTTGCTAAGAGAGTGCAGCATGCTGCAATGCTACCAAACATGGTCCTCATCACACATCTTCATCACAGGTGAAGGCAACAGCTTGTGCACAGAGAGGCTCCCAACTCTGTGAATAAGGGATGGGCTGAGACTGGATGTCTGAGTTTGAAAGCAGTTTAGTGGAGTCAGCCAGACCTCAGAGTGACTTTCTGAAGTCTAGTCAGTGGGAAAAGCTTCTAGCCGGATAGCGACACAAACGCTCAGGCAGCTGGTATGTGGCAGCTCTTGTCCCCTGGAGCAAACAGTTCATTCACAGTCAACAGCAAAGCTAGTGAAGACCCATGAGTTTCTGACTCTTCACCACTTCCAAGGCTGGAAGGTGCTGGTTGCAATTCTCTGCTCTGCCCCTAAGTCCACATGGGAGACCTTGTAAAAATCCACATTACCCTTCTGCACTGCCATTTTCTACCTGGAAAATGAGGCTAGCCATCCTGTCTCATTTTCACTCCCTGCCTGTCTTATCTAATTTTACTGAGCACTTTCAGAGGCAGAGACTATGCTAAGGCGCTTGGTTCCCCAGCAGTATTTAATGCATGTAATATAATAGCTCAAAAGAAAGGAGATGAAAACAGTTGAAGTGAACACAAAGAGCATCCGATCTGGGATAGTGTCACCTGGTGATACTCTCATCACAAGGTGTGCTCCAGCTCTGACAGAAGCATCAAGCACTTTGTGACCAGCCTGAACTACAATGTAGAAAGCTTTTCTGCCACAGGACATGGTGAAGTGACAAATACAACAGAAAAGACTGTGAGAGATACACACTTTCTGACATGTGATGAACTCAGCTGAGCAAAGATGGTAAAAGTCTTGAAATATCTAAGCTGACTTTCCTGAACTGTTGTTTCTGAAAAAACTAGACAGATTCCCTCCATTGGGTTTCTAAGTATTTCAAAGCAAAGATTTAACAAACTGAAAAAAAGACCACAATAAAAAAAAAAAAAGTCTTTGTTCTTCCAGCCTGCTTTGTGCCAAGCCCTTTCCAGGACCGCCCAGCATAGAGCTGGGCTGCTAACACCAAAGATTCACTGGCAGCATTTAACCTGGCCCTGTGGGATCGGTCACCTTGTTCCACAAACCCTGACTTCTCTTTGTTCCCTTGTGACAAAAGAAACAGAGCTTTAGGGACCATTTCAGGACCATTTCCAGGTTGGAAATGGTCCCTAAATTAGTGACAATTGCCCAATGGCACAAATTGCCCAGTGCCAAAGACACTCCCTCAGCTGTTGGCTCCCCTGGTTGTCCCTTACTCATGGAAGGTATTTGAATTAAGGTGCATGGGGAAAATGGATGCTGGATAAGGGACCTGCCCTGTGACACATAAAGGAGATCAGATCTGGAGCATCCCAGC